ATTTTGCCAAAATGTTCTCTTTTTGTTTATGCATGTAGGCCAAAAATAAAACAATGAAACTAAATAGCATATTTTTTTGATTGATTGACTGATTTGTCTTTTACAGCTAATCTTTTTGTCGGTTATTTAAAAACATATTTGGGATTGTAAGTATAATTCTTTTTTGTGAGTGAATATTTTTTGAGAATAACAATGATTTTTTCAGATACACACCATACTATTTAACCCATAGCTGGAGGGACACTATAGAGTCATACCTTTTCCAAAATTATTTGCATGTAAGTGAATGCAACAAACCCAACTAGACTTTGAACTCGACTCTCTGATTTCTCATTCCAAGCTGTTATCCATTACACCACCTGCACATCCACTCAGCATTGCTGGAAAGCAGGTGTTATTTGCTGTGATGTGTGAAGGAAAAAATGAAGACAAAGTGAAAATTTCAAAAAGGAGAATGTTAAGTAATTAATATTGTTTGGCAATTAATAGTGAAAATGTTAATTAATGTTATTTGAGAGTGAATATGTCAAATTCTTGATTAGTAATAAATGAAAGACTATTAATATTATAAACTATGTCATCTCATGTCCTTAATGGTCTGAGATATTGTTATTATTACACAACAATATTTTTTCCATGTGCATTTTATTTGTTTTATCCCAATGTTCCAGTCACTGTAGCCTTTTTCTGTTGATTGTTGTAATAACTTTCAGAGGATACAACAGAAAAATGTCGAATGCCTGAAATATTTTGTAAAAATAACTAAAATAAGGCTGCAAACTCAAAAGAAACAATATTTAATAATAACAATGCCTCATCTAAAAAGATCAGACAGAAATAAAAATCTTGTATTATACTGTGAAGCTGCCTTACTGAAATACACAAACAATGACAGTAAGACAAGCAAAACAATTTCTGATAAGGAAATAGCAAAAATAACTGAAACATTGATTGTGGACAGCATATTCGTTTGAGTTATATATAAATAGGAAATCCACACTTAGTGTAGTATTCTTAATGAAAGAGAAAATCACCTACCTTGAAAAAGAGTTTGTGTTTGGTGTGTGGTCTGCTAAAGGAAAATTTAAAAAAATAGCAAAAACCTGCTATTTTAAGTATCAGAGAAACTATGATAATGTTCTTTTCTCCCTGAATGGTGTGGCCAATGAGAAAAATCACTAAATGAATAAAGGCCATTGCATTTGCTTACCAAGGGAGAACAATCTTTGAGCTTGGTGAGCATAAGTGTGTTTCTGCTGTTGGGAAGGGAAGGTTGGATTTCTGATCCCATTATTCATTACTATTTTGCACGCTGGACTGTTTACAACAGATTCATGATTGAACTTAGTGTTGGCAAATGGATTTTTTTTTTGTTTCTACTGACCCCATTGATTGATACCCAAACAAGTTATTTTGGCATTACTTTGTCTCAAGCAAGATGGCCAAAAGACCATTCAACATAAAACTGATACACAAATTCACTGGTGATAAAACTGGACAGCCCATGGTTGAATGGATTGAGAATGTGGAACTGGTCTGCGAATTATGTGAGATCATGAAGATTGAACAAATTCTTCCACTGCGTTTGAAAGGTGAGGCCCTTGCCATGTATAGGCAGTTGAACAAAGAACAAAAAGCTGACATTGAGCAAATAAAGCATGCTTTATTAATTGCATTTGAAACTGACTGGTTCATGGCCTATGACTGATTCCAGATGTGGTGCCTGCTCCCTGGTGAGACAGTGGACATATTTTTGGTAGAACTAAAGAAGCTTGCCATACTGATTGAGCCACTACCTGAAGAATGGGTGACCTGTGAATTTGTGTCTGGATTGCCTAGCCATGTTAAGCAGATACTCTGAACATCATCCAGAATGGAAGACATAACACTTAACCAGTTAGAGCCTGCACTATCATCATCATTGAAAAGAAGGCTGAGGAGCCAATTGCTGCAGCCATTCAACCAACTGAAGTCAAAGTTAATCCAACCCCAGCCATCTGTTGCCATGGTGATGTGACCCACTATCAGTGCTCTGGGCCAAATCATTTTGCCAAGGAGTGCCACTATCAGCACGAAGAGATGCACAGCAGATAGGTGTGAAAGGTATATCCTGATCTACGATGTGTTAAATGTTAGAAATTAGGCCACATTGCCTCTAAGTATCTGGGAAATTGAATGGGAGATGAAACATTAGTGCTGGTCTCTTCCCCACACAGAGCATGAAAGAGGCACTCCTTGTGATTAAGTTATGCATCAATGAAATAACTGTACTCCTTTAGTAGATTCGAACTGCTCTTGGTCACTCACTGGTGGAGCAGACAAAAGATGGATGTACTAATGGCCAATGGAAAGGCTCTCATCTTAGACCAATTGATTTTCATACCCACTTTTGCTGCATTTTGCTAAGTTTTGAAAGGATTAAATAGATGTTCTTGTGGATGCTGATGAACAGTGCTATATTATTCTTATTAAACAAAATATTATTTTACAGTTTTTATCTAAAATTTGTTTTAATATCTTTCAGTGTTAAATTTATATGTTGATCATTGAAAATCAAGAAGAAAGAGATTATCAATGGTCAGGAATTAGTGGTTATTATATATAAAACAACAAACCTGGCATACTATCTGTTGAGAAGTATATTTCTGTTTCCAGTCAGAAGTCCCCTCTCACAGGAAGACTAAATTGAGAATATTATTTAAGTGCTTAGATATTGCCACACAGCACACAGGGAGTTTCTCAGTTTATTCTTAGATCATTGAAAATCAAGAACAATTTACATTTGTGGAAAAAAAAACATTCTTAAATTTACTTACAAATTTAATAAAAAATATTCCATTCTTAGATGTCTTGTGGGATCAAATAATAATACATTCACCACTTTGTTATATAAAAAATCCACAATTAAAAACTCCCGTCATCTTAATTTTATTAGTGAATGGCTACTTAGATACAAAATAGGTATCATAAAAAGTTCCCTCACAAGTGCATGAGAGTTCCTCTTCTTGTCTATTGTGCTTTAAACAACTTGGCAGCATTAAACAGATGCTAGTCAATAATGGTTTCCTAAACGACCTTATAGATAATCAAACTAAATTGTTTTGCTCTAAAGTAAGCAATAGGAAGACTGGACATAAAGAAAAAACAATAATATTAATATTTTATATAAAAATCAAATACATGTTAATTATAAGCAGGTTAAATTTGACCTTAAAAATACTCATCTAAATGCAGAAAACACTTAAAAATAATGGAAGCTTTAATAATAAAAAAAGAAGAAACCAACATTTAATAATATTAATTAAGAAAATGCTCACAATATGCTGACTGTATTCAGGAATCAAAACATTTCTATTGCTTTTGATAATGACTAATAGATTAGCTGAAAGTGCTTAGAGCCAAAGATCCTCTGGATAGTTCTAACACACTTTATTTCCCAAAAAGAAATCTCTTGTAAGCATAAAAGAAAAATATAATAAAAAGCTTAATCACAGTACCTTGTCAGTTTGTCAGTCATCTTCAATGAAACACACACACACACACACATATATATATATATATATATATATATATATATATATATATATATGGTGAACTCTCCCGTCATATTCGATGTATGAGGGTCAAGCAGCTTTGTTCCTAGGGACCAACAGCCAGACACTAGCATATAGTGGTGAAGGCTTTGTACAGAACCAACCACACTTTTTGAAGAGCCAAATACAGAAACCTGGTGCACTATGTGCCACAAGTTCCCTAAACAACCCTCCACAGGTTTTGAAGTTAGAGTTGTCCTTCTTCTAGACCAGTTGCCATCCAAGGCTATAGAACCCAGTCTGTCCTGCTATTTACCCATAGCTGGAGGGAGAAGAGGAGGATTAATACCTTTCCCAAAGGTATTATTAGCATGTAAGTGAATGTAATGGATTTGACTGGTATTCAAATTTGGCTCTTTGAGCCCTCAGTCCGAGCCACTACTCGCTACTCTACCGTGCCTCCCATCAGTGGTGTAGCTAGAGTAAACGTCACCCAGGGCGGTCCGCTCAAATGTCACCCCAATGACCCTGATTCACCCTATGCTGAATGGTTAGCTGTAGCTAAATTTTCATACATGCTCTACCTCTACTTTACTCTACTGACCGGTACGTTACTGTTTACATGTATGATCCAAGACAAAATCCAATACCACAAAATAATCAGTTCAAATCAAATGCTGAAAACATTGCTATTTTTCCTACTCACAAATTTCCCGACAATTTATTAGAAAATTTCTGACAGGGGACAAAACTGGGGGGTCATAAATTATTCCTGGGGGTTCATATGCCCGCCTACGAAACCCGTGTCTCCACCACTGTTTTCAGACTATTTTTGGCACCTTAGTCTGGTTGAAAAATTTTGTTGGGGGTGACATTGTGTCACCCCTCCTGTGCTGGCAGTCCGCCCCCTCGCCCCACCTTAGCTACGCCACTGCCCCCCCATATATATATATATATATATATATATATATATATATATATATATATTAATCATTTCGCCTGAAGCAAGCCACTAAGATGCAAGAAATTACTGAGTGAAAGAATATAAGAAAAAACACTTTTGAGGGGAGAGGACAATAAAAGTACAGTATTCAAATATATAGAAGATGATGACTGATATTGCATTTAAATTTGTGAGATCATAGTTAAGAAGAAAGCAAAAAGCTGGAAGAGAGTTCTACAAAGGAGACGTGCAAGAGAAGAAACTGTTAGCATAGAAATTATGTTTATGTCTAGCAACATTTCAACAGTAAAATGATAAGACCAATAAAGTACTGCAAGATAATTAAGGAGTTTTTAATGAAAGTGTGTATGCTATTTTTGAGTTGAGACTATGAAGAGGAAACAAAAACATATTCAGGAAGCAAAAACTGAAAAAAATATAAATATAAATTATTGTTATATTTCAAAAGCACAAATCAAGTCCCAGAGAAAGAATTAAAAGAAGGAAAAGATTGGAAGATGGTTTTACCTTTGTTTTTCACTATCTGGTGTCAACCACTTGTGAAGATCAGAATGTTCTATGCTTGCAGCAGGTGGCTTTTCAATGGACATAGACTTAAGTAGTTCTTCTTTAGCTGACAAAAGAGAAAATATTATTTTTATTTGAAGAAAACATTTTTAATAAATCTTCTTAAATCAATCATTTTTTTAACTGTACAGTCAAACATATAAAATGTATGACAAATATAACAGCAACAATAAAAATAACTGGCTCATTACCAATCAAAAATAATAAAAAGTCCCTGAATTAAAATCCTACAATATCAAATGGCTCTAATACAGATAAAGATAAAACAAACAAGGACAGAGACATAAAAACACTCTTCAAGTCTCAAGTCAAGAAGTGATAAGTTAGAGTAATTAAATTGATTTATGATACCAACTCAGAGATTCCAAGACATTTTCCTAATACATACTTTTGTCTTTCTTTTAATCAAACTGATAATGTCAAAGAGAGCATAATCTCTCTCCAGCAAAACATGTCTTTGATAAAAATTTCCCACTTTGTCTCATCATCCTCAACTTTGTTTTGGATACTATTATACATCCTACAAACACAAACACACACACACATATATATATGTGATAAATTTAATTCTTAAGGTATACTCTACTTTGGGGAGGAAAGCATTCAATATCTGGGACAGAGCATATGTAAATATAAGCAGTGTGGATGTAGGTATCAATACTAGATTGTGACAGGCTGTTTCTTAAATGCAATCATCAGACAACATCTATACCAGAATATAAATCTTTTTGACTACTGACAATATAATCTGTAAACCAGAATCATCAGGTAGTAGTGAGAAACAGACAATTTTTATGGCATTGGCATCTCTGACACACATTTTATAACTGTATTTAATGTTTGTTATATATATATATCATATGAAAAGATTACTTAACTTTTAAATATCAATTTTATCTCTTGGTAAAATTTCCAATCTTCAGGGGGTTCGGGTTTTAAACAATATTTCCAAATTTTCAATTTGTTCCGTATCTTTTTCAATCTGCTTTTTTACTCAGTTTTGTACATGTGCATATTATAATATTTTTACTATTGAGCACTATATATAAAAATATTTGCTATTTTTTAAATTTTATATATATATATATATATATATATATATATATATATATATATATATATATATATATATATATATAAGCATAGAAATTTTCAGACTTATCAAAAGCCTTTACTCTAAAAAGCGCTATTGGCCCTGGAAAAAACTCTCGTTGTTTTTAAGAAACCTGAACTAGAATTATCTCCAATCTTGACATTGTTTAAGTGAGGCCTGAAGAAGAAATGTTTCCCAAGTCTATGAATGGAGTCAGCAGTATGCCTTGTTTTCAAAAAATGCAGGTAAGCTCTCATCATTATTGTAATACCACCTCATCTGCCTCCTTAGTGTCATCAGCAAACCTTTTGAGTCTATGATCAACAATATGGTTATTGATCACCTTAACAGAAACAAAATCCTGACTGATAAACTATGGATTTTGTTTCTTTAGGTCCACTGTTGATATCTTAACTGCTGTTACACACAGAAGAATCATGAAACACTAGATAATAAATTAATCATGAGAGATCTCAAATGCTTTTAACAAAGTGTGTTTTGAGGGTTGCTACACTAATTCTCCAGATATGGTATTTCTGGAAGAGTTTTTGCAATTATTAAGTCCTTATAAGGCAGATCCATGAAGGTCATTTTTAGTATCCAATCTTCTGAATCCCATGAGATCAATACAGACATACCCCAAAGCTCTCTCCTTAGTCTTACCCTCTTTCTGCTTTTTATTAATGATCTACCTAAGGACATTCTCAGATCAGTAGTAAATATCTATGCAGATGATACCACAGTTTATGGGTACACCTCCAAAAATTTAGATAGACTACAGCCTGGCAGCAAATCTGTCTTCTGACCTAGATGTAACAACTCAATGAAGGAAAAAATGACTTGTAACATTCAGTACCTCCATAATCAAGCTAGTAATGTTTCAACATCACCAAGCAGACCCTGGATTTTCACCAGTCATGATAAATGGTTGTATTCTGAATAAGGCTCTTTGTATTGACTGTCTAATGAGACTCAATTCAGACCTCAAGTGGAACTTATATATATGTATGTGACTCCTCCCACCATGCTTGATCTTTACAAGAGTCAGATCAGAGCAAAAATGGAGTATTGTGGCCATATCTGGGCTGAGGCTACTCAATCTTCACTTTCCAGTTATACTCCGTTGCAATTAGATCTCTTTTTGATTCATTCTGTATGCCGGATGGATATAAATGCCATGTAGGCAGAAAACAAAATAAAAAAGTTGTTTTCTGTGCATAGGCTCCAAGCATCATGTCTGGTTACTGGAGTAAGCCCCTTGCCAATTGTGAGCATTCCCACTGAAAAAGAGATGTCTCTGGGGACTGCCAGATTTGCTTCAAAGCAGTCCCCTTATAATGACCATTAGCAGGCCACACACAGGGCACTCTCCATGTCACTGCCATCACCACCCCTCTCAATGACTGTTACAACTCCCTGACTTGACTAATTACCCAACTCTTCACACACTGAAATAAGAGACCTGCCTCAACATCACCCAGATACAAGCCAATGCCATCACCTTGGCAAACCCAATTTACTACAGTGGCTGACTATCCAGCTTCAACACTGCCAGGCTCCAGATGCCAACCATTGCAATTGATAACATCTCAACATCGACACCACCCAGCTACAAGTCTTCCTCATAGTCAACACTGTCATCTCGGAAAATCCAACTATGCAAGCAGCAACTCCAACTCTGCAAGCAAGCGACTATGCAAGCTTGCAACCCGCTCATGCTACCACTGTTTCATATAAACACAGATAAACTATCAAGCAGCAACTTCAACTCCGCAAGCCTGTAAAGTCACCTGTGCTACCACCGTTTCATAGAACAGGCCTATCAGCTATACCAATTCCATATCAGCTTGACAACCAACATACCCTACCACGAATCAACCCACCAGTATGACCTTGATCAACCAACATGTACAAATGATGATATCCTGTGACCTCAATGCAAGAAATTGGTCAACTCCCAGCACTACCTTTATACCTAATTGCCATTCAATTTTCTGACAACACTGTAAGATAACTGTATATTAAACAATTACAGGCTGTTCATAAAACTTATCCTTGTTATTCTTTTCCTTTTACAACCAAACACTTATTATAGGTCTTGACAAAGTTCAAAACTATGTAGCCTTGTGGGTGATAAATTATTTTTTACTCTTCAATCTGTGTAATTCATTTGCTTGATCAAATTTCTAGCAATAATCTTTTGTCATGATTGTCCTTTCATACTTCAGTAGCTTGTAATAAACGACAACTTTCATATTCCACCAGACACAAAGCAAAGACTATTGTAGATAATACTTTGTGTTTGGTATTGGTACCAATTTCTCATTTTGTGATAAACACTGATTTTTTCATTTTCTACTGATTTGCAAAACCCATTTTTCATGAAATGTAACAATGTGACTGATGAAAGTTTGGTATTTCTAGTTAAAAGACTGCTGCAGATGGTGGAATGTTGTGTTCAGTTCTCAAACAAAAATTCATGTTGAGCTCAAATTCCTTCTTGAAAGTTTTTTCCAATTTATTCAAGATGTTTGTGGACAATTGAACATAGCATATTAAGTTTTTGTGCAAAATCTCTCATGCTTCGATCTGGATCCAATTTAATAGTGTCTTTCAAAAGTTCTTTGTCCAGAGTGGGCCGTCTTCCAGAATGAGGCTTGTTGGATATGACATAATCACTATTTTTAAAATTTATGTAACGAAAGTGAAAGGCAGGATGAACTGCCAGTTACCTTTGATGAGACTGCCCATCCTCATCAATCAGAAAGACAATGCATGATGTGCGGTATATGCAAGAGAGGATGGCTGGTATGAACCTGAGAATGTTCGCTTACAAAAATATGGTCATGGCAGTGGACTAAGTGGTGCCTAAAATTTGTTTATGCAAATGATTCATGTCGCACATAGTGAGATTACTGATGTTTCTGGGTTCAATATAAACAGACAGATTTTCTGTTTAGGAGGTGAGTTGCCAATATTACTATTGTACGAAACATCATGATTCTGATTTTCTTTTTGTTCGTCATCACTTTCTGTGTCCCGGTTATGTTCGACCTTTGTTTTCACCATTCCTGTGTGGAATTCTTTGTCACCTCTGCTGCGGATGTGTCTCTGTTTTATTTGCTTTGTTTTGTTTGTCTCCAGTGCTGCTGCTATTCATTCTGTCCCTCCTCGTTTGTGTTCTGGCAGCAAAAAAACAACTTCACTTTTAAACTGCAGCTGACATGTTTGAACCTTCACTATATCCATATATAGCAAAACATTTTTTTAAAATGCCTCTGTAGCAGCAATAACCATTTTGGAATTCATACAGTAAGCAATGGAAAAGATGTTGTCTTTTAAAGTTATAATCCTTCATGAAGTTAAACTCTGAAATGCACTAAAATTGATGCACTGCCAGATAGAAGAGATGATAAATTAATTTTAGATGCAGTTTTGTAATATTCAGCTTTGATTGGTTGACACATAACTCATGACTGAAAAACATAATTACTTTCTGAACACCCTATCATCAGATTCCGGTTTCTCATCCAACTTTACACACACACACACATGCACAGTAGGCAGTAAAAAAATAGATAAAACATTTCTAACCAGATATGTACCAGATCAAAATGCAGTCAGAGTTAAAATAAAATTGTTGTTATTGTTTCATTTTTTTACTGCAACCAGAATTTGCTATATCACTATATATATATATATATATATATATATATATATATATATATAAAGTGGATCCAAGTTTTGAGATATTTGTTTAATAGTATTACCTATGATATCACAAGCTATACCAAAATTTGCTATATCTTAATAAATGTAATTATGAAAATGGATCTGTGTTTTGACAGATGTGTTGTGGTCTAATGAATAGTGGCTTGGAATAAGAAATTACAAACTGAGTTTGAATTCAAATCATTCATTTATGCACAAATACCCTTGGGAAAGGTATGAAT